ATGGTAAATTAACTTTTAAAGACGAAAATAAAGTTGTTAAGGAATCTGTTAAAGAAGAAATAAAAGCTGTTCAAGTCAAGATTGAAGAAAAAGTCAATGCGAAATGAAAAGAGAAATTGCCTGCATAATAGAAACCAAATTCGATGCTATGGAAGGCAGAATAGATGTGGTTGAGAATAAAGTGGGACAAATTGAGGAAAACGTTTCTTCTGTTAAAGAGAGAAATAGAAGAAAGAGTTTGTTCCGTTCAGAAACAAATCGAACAACAAATTGATGACCGGGTTTGTGCGGTTGCCAAAGAACTGGAAAACTTTAAAGAAATTCGTAGCGACGGCTGGGAGTAAGAGTGATGATTTTAAATTCTTACCGATGCCTGCTCGTCCATCTCTGAAGCTATCCACATATGATGGGAAGACATCCTGGCAAGTGTATAAGACCCAGTTTTCTATCGTGGCGGATGCGAATGGATGGGATTCCCAAGCTAAGGCCTGTCATCTCGCCGCTTCTCTGAGAGCAGACGCAGCGGATATCTTGCAGACGCTTCCAGAAAACCAAAGACTTGACTTCGAAGCTTTATCCGGCACATTGGAGCTGCGCTATGGCGAGAGAAATGTTTTTAAAAGACTACAGCAGGCTTCAATTAAAATCCCGTCAACAGAAGCCCACCGAATCACTTCAGGAGCTCGCCACGGATGTTGAAAGGCTGTCACATCACGCCTTTTCGGAGTGCCCGACAGAAACAAGGGAAATCCTGTCCCTGCAATATTTCATCGATGGAATCCGGGATCCCGAAATACAGAAGGCTCTACGAATGGCAGATGTAAAGGATGTAAAAAGCGCTCTGTTGTACGCCGTGAAATTGGAGGCAGCCCAGCAAGCAACTCTTAGAGATCGCTACCCAGTCAGAGCTGTGCGAGTCCACGACCCAGGGGACCAATTGATGGCTCGTTTAGATGATTTATCCAGACAAGTCGATGCTTTGATACGGAGTAGCAGTGAGAACAAAGTGGCTGTAAGATGTTGGAGATGTGGTTCTGAAGGTTACCTACGACGGCATTGCAGAACACACCCCAGGGCACGGATAATAAAACGGATGAGTTGACAAGACCAGTGAATGCTTTAAGACGGATTAGTGGTGAAAACGAAACCGACCCTAAAGTGCTGGAATTGCGGGTGTTGAAGGCCACCTACGAAGGAACTGCAGAACTCCCCAGAGCTCGGAAAATAAGGCATACGATTTAAACAGACAATTAAATGCCACGGGAAGGAAAAGGACTGACAAGAAACCAAAGTGCTGGAACTGTGGAGCTGAAGGCCACGTACGAAAGAATTGCAGAACACCCCAGGGTACGAAAATTGAGACATATTCTGAGCAACGACGCAGGAAACAAATTAATGACCATATCAAGGAACGGAGGTTGCCAGATAATGAAAAACCCTGTTTTAAAGCGCTTAAGATATCTATAGTGAGTGGCAACAATAACGGACTGTCCATCAATGGGAATATCGATGGAGTTCCTTGCAATATGATCATTGACACAGGAGCTAATGTTACCATCATTAGGAAAGATTTAGCTGAACAGTTTAAAGATAAACTTATTTGGACGCCATCCTGTGTTACCCTTCAGACTGCGTCTGGTGATAAGATCGACATAGCTGGGAAGTTAAACCTGAAAATCACATTTGGAAGTGCCGCCTACCATCACACGGCATATGTGGCGGATATTACAGATCCATGCATACTAGGATTGGACTTTTTAAGGAAATACAATTTTTCCTTAGACTTGAAAAACAACAAACTGCTTTCAGGATCTGAAGACATGACTATCCATCCTAAGAAGGGATCCTCACCTGGAAATGCCGACGCTTTGTCCGAAAGAACCAGCTCGAGAAACAGCCGAAATCATGCTAGGGTCGAAAAGAAACACCAGACTACCAGCTATTCTCCATCTCAGATGCTCTTCGGTCGAGACCTTCGTCTGCCTTGTGACCGCCTGTTTGATCGCCATAGGATGCGCCTTCATCGCCTGAGGAACACATCCAAGATGTCCAGGCCCGTTTTCAGGGGATGCACTGTTCTGCACGAAAGCGAGTCAACTTGGCGACGGAGAAAGTGAAGACCAGATACGACACGCAAACTACTAGACATAGATCCAACAAAGGAGACAAAGTGTGGTTGCGGAACCCGATTCAGCGAAAAGGACTGAGTCCTAAATTACAGTCACCTTCGGATGATCCATATACAGTGCTGAACACGAATGACGTCGTGGTTCGGATCCGTGAGTCTTCGAACTCTTACGACAGGTTAGCTTATTACTATGGCCATAGTACATAATGTAAATAATTGTAAATAGTATAAGACCATGGTCCATTTTGTTTTTAAATGTGTATTTGATTTGTATTTGATAGCATTTGATTTGTTTTATGTATTGCATTTATTGTTCATGTTGTTTATTATTGTAATGGAATGCTTATTAATGCATTTATGCCACAGTTGTAAGTTTAGCTTCCTGTCCAGGGATTGTACTGCCCGGGACGTGCAGTCCTTGGGAAGGGGGCAGTGTTACGAATTTGGTATTTAAAAAGCTAATGTTAGTTCAATTATAAATTAAATGGTTTTATTTCTCGCGCAGTGCAGCGCGTGACGAATATTAAAAGAGAGCTAAGCCGGAAAATTGAAAATACAAGAGCGCGTGCATTAAATAAATAAATAACTCTTTTTGATTTCGAGAAAGTACTGGAAAATTCTAGCGCGTGATTTTAAAATCTTATAAAAGGAGGAAAACATCTAAGTGAGTAGGAGCTGCTTAGTTTGTTGTTGTTTAGAAAACTGCTCTTGTTGATTGTAGCGAATTCGCGGATTAGCGTTCTTTAGCTGTTTTGAATTACGTTCTATTGGATATTTGAGTAGTTAAAAGATAACTACTGTGAGATATTGTAATACTGCATGATAATTTGAGAAAATTTAAGCATTTTTGTTGTGATAATAATAAATTTTTGTTTATTTTTCATCGGACTTGTGCATTCATTTCATAACGAACCCGTACGCACGCAACAATATATATATATATATGCATATTGAATTTCCATATATCAAAATACGATAGCTGGGTTAAGAAACGATTGGCAACTTCAAAATTAACTGTTCTAAATTCGGTGTTCTCCCCCCCTAAGTTCATCTACTCTCCCAAATTTGAGATCTTCCCATGTTACATAACAACCTAAAATTAACCAGTCACAGATTAGCTGTACTTGTGCATCATAACCACTGAAAAGAGTTCTTATTGAAAGCGTGACTGAAAAGTTCGATTTCCTTTTTAGGGGAAAAAAGAAGGTTTATTGTCGCATGTTAAAAATGAGTTTAATTTTTATTATTTCCTGACTTTTACCCCTCCCCCCCTCCTAAAAAAAAGAAATCCAGAACTTTATTGTAAGTTTTATGTAGAAAGAAGATTTTAGGGAATCTCAAAATTGTACTTGAAGGAAGTCAGTTCAAGGAGTTAGAATTCGATTGATTCTTCTTATCCTACTATTGGTTCAATTCTTTTCACTCTGCACTCCGCCCTCGCTAACTGTTTCTGATTCTACCGCTCGTTCAGTTCTTTCTGCACTTGGCGCCATTCTCGCTAATCGCTCTTAATTCAATTTTCGATCCCGATGTCTTTCATCAAGGTCATTGTTAACGAGCGATGATTCATAAAACAGAACTAATCCAATTCAGTGAGGTAACACTTTTGATTCGATCCCATAAAAGTCTATGAGTGTATCCTATGTATCCGCTTGAACAGGTATCTAGATGGTGCGCAAATCTTAAATTGCATGCAATATCGCTTCAGGAAAGGCCACAGCGCAGTGAATTAAATAGTAAACGTAACTGAATATATAGCAGAAGCATTTACTGAGAAAGCTATCATCGTGAGAGCATTTGAGGCCGTATGGCATGCCAGCTCTGTTAAAAATCCTTTCATCGTACCGGAGAAACTGAGGTGTGCAAGAAGATGTGGGAAATACACTCTTGAGCAGGAAATATATTTAAGCTAGAGGTCCACAAGAACCGGTACTAAGACCAGTTCTCTTTGAAACTTAACGAATAGCCAAATATGTAGATGACACGGCTATTTTTACAGAGTTCCTAAATCCACAAAATATCACGTGACAATCTCTACATTGCCGTGAATGTGCTTACGTACTGGTGTAACTTATGGAGAATTAAGCTCAATCCAACCCAAAAAAAAAATAATATTCTTTTTAGAAAAAAGTTTACTTTTCAAAAGGACATCATTATTAATGGCACAATATTAGCATATGCAAGTTTAGTAAAACTCCTAGATGCCATCTTTTAGGAACAATTATTAACCGAACTTGTTGATTATACCATTCAAATAGCGCGTAAATTAAGCACATATGGAAACTTATCCAATATTCAACCGTCGGTCGAAATTAAACTTCAGGACAGAGCGAATTCTATCTTTCATTAATAAGATTACGGTGGCAAAATCAAGACATAAAAGAACTGCATTCTTCAAAACAAAAGACTCAGGATGATCGTAAAAGCTGTGAGGAATAAGGAAATTCCTCGCGAACTAGAAACTCAGCGGTGCATGAATTCGTGCTTTCCACGTCACATAATGTTTTGACAAGTTGGTCAACTGAGCATGTAACACGCATCCTTCGAGAGTTACAGACTCTGATGCAACTCTCGAAAACATAGCAAAAAGACACAATGCAAAGTGGTGAGCAGTGCTGAAGTGGACTCTTTTTCTCAGTCGACATTGGGTTTTTCAATCAGAAATGTATTTTTATATAAGAAACTGTTTATTCTTCTTAGGCCACAATTTAATAGATTGATGTAAAGAGGAGGAGATCTATTTTAAACCAGCGTCTCATGATAGTGTGCTAAAACATTAAATATGTAGTTGTAACCAAAATTTTCCGCCAAAAAGAGTTCTTAATAAATTAAGAAAAAAAAAAAAAAAAAAAAAAAAATGAAAGCAGTACTTTTAGTGCAGGTAGTAATCATCACCCAAATCTATGTTTTTCTGCGAGCGTTTTTGTAGTTTTTCAAATCCTTCGGCCCAGAAACGTTCTGGCCTCGAGTCCAAAAACAGATCAACCGCATTTCGGATTTCACGTCCAGAATGGAAAACAGCATCAACAAGATGCAGCTGCGAAAAATGATAGAAGTACGAAGGAGCGATGCCAGGGCTATATGGTGGATGTGGAAAAAGATCCCCTTCGGGTCCATACAGAGTCCAGCCGGTGAATGCAGATACATGTGGCCTTGCATTATCTTGATGGAACATTACTTTTTTGGGCCGAAACTCTGTTCGACATTTTTCCGTTATAGCAGCGTCCCCACGGGCTAGCACCACACCATACTGTCGAGGGTTTTACCTTTTCCCAGATACTCTTTGTGGATAACACCTCTGCAATTTCACCAGATACAAGGCATAATGTTTTTGTTAGCTAAACTGCGCTTTGCGTTGCTGCTGACGGACTGACTGGCTGCAGACTAACTCCCTTTCAGACTATGTTGTTGAAGTAAGTCACTTTTCATCACAAGTGATGATCCGATCCAGAATTTTGTCCTTGCGTTGATATTCGAACAGACTAGTGCACGCCCAAACACGTCTGTCCTTATCTGCTTGGGTCAACTCATGCGGCACCCAGACCCAGCGATTAACCTTGTACGTCAAGTTTATGCGATGCATAGCGCGAGTAGCGACTAATTCCTTAGCAAGCTTTGGAGTAGTTGCATACTGGTCTTCTTCTGCAAGTTCTTCCAGGCAGGCTTTATTAATATTAATAGGCCGGGCAGAATGCTCTGCTCCTTGTTTTCGAAGTTCCGATGCCAAACCTTCACAGCATCATATGCTACAACATTAGTATCTAAAGTTGTAAATAGGATTTAGTGACATCACCCAAATGATGGTTCTAATCTGGCAGCGTGATTTCAGACAACTTTGTACTTAATGATAACGATATTTTTTTTCTAGAAATTTCACAACGCAGTGTTCTAACGCGTATTAAACATGCTAAGGCTACTATAAATCTCTAGTAGCTCTAAACATGCCAACGCGAACTGTTTGCGCAGACGATATTTGCTGTGACAGGAAACTTTCGTTTATAGGCTTACAGAAGCTGCACGTTCCGCATTATATACGTAAATGAAGCATGGAGCATGATGGTACAAATGGTTTTTAAGAATTTCTTGCTTTAACCATTTTTTTATAATTTGCCTTAAGTCATCGGCTGTTATTAGCAAGTTATTAGTAATTAATAAAATTAATTAAGCTCTTAAATTAAGTTCTCGTCGCTGTGGGGTAAGTAAGTGTCGCTGTGGGGGAGAAAGATGATTCCAAGTAAAAGAGCGATTTTGCCTATCTCTAGTTGCTTTTAGAACACAATCTTGCCACTTTTTAATCTTTCAAAATGGCAATACTGGGTTTGTTTATAATTATCCAGAAATATTAGCATGGCGTAATTTGAGTATAGCTGTATTATAAAGTTTTAAGTAAGTATGAGATATTTTTATTATGAGAGAGAGTAGGAGATATTTTGATATTATATTAATATTTGTATGTTATTATATTAAATGCTATTTCAGCAGCGTATCTTAGCCATTGTCAAATTCATTGTTAAAATGGAACCTTCTCCGGTAATTGAATGAATTCATTATTATGTGTTAATTGGGCACATCAGAGATGCTACTGCATTTCGGTGTATTCTGGGAATTTTTTTGGGGTAACAAGGTTTATCTTTGCTTTCTCGCAATGGTTTTAACAGTTTCAGGTAAAATCCGCCGAAATGAAAATTTAGTTCAGTAATATATTAGAAAGCCAAATAGCCGTCTTTAGGAGAAGTGAATAATGATGATGTTTTATTGTTGCATTGTAAATCAGGATTGTTATATTACATGTCGGAACATTATGTCGTGAAAGATGGGTGTAAGAAAGAAACATTTTTAAAGATAATATTAATGAATAGAGCATTATACTGAATTTCTAAACTGTAAATTATTTTTTATTTAAATTTTGGACTAACAGAATTAAAATACAAAATTTGTTGTGAATGTACTAATGGTACTCAAATAAGCACCTGAAGATTGCAGACTTCTTTTTTTTTGTTCAAAAACTTGGAGATTGTAAACATAATAATTGATTTTCTTTTAGCTGAAGCAATTGCCAGAATTAAGGTATTCAATATTAAATCTGTAGAGCAAAATAAGATGTATGTAGCTATCTTTTACTTGTCATGAGACATTTTACATATGTTCATATTTAATGAAATAGGAAAATGCTTTCTGTGTGTTCATATTTGAGTGTGATTTAATGAAAGCTGTAGAATTATGTAGTGATAATTATAATAAAAGTTGCTCACTTTTTATTGTCTACACCAGGTCCAAAAAGTATTCATGAGGCTACATGGTGTATCGGCAAAATAATTGCCATAATGGATGTTGCCGAAAAGTGTTTATGTGGCAAGTGAAGTGATCATGTAGCACACGTCTGTTTATGTGTGTGCCAGCTGATGAAAAGAAAATATTTAATTTCTACAGAAATTTTAGTGTTTGTCCCAACAGAGGGAAAGTAAAAATTCACATTTATTGAAGTTGTACTTAATTTAATGGAAATACAATGTGAAAAATAGCTAGGAAGATATTTGAATGTGAAGTGGAAATTGCTTTGAAGTTGTTCACTGGATTTTTGGCTTATGCTCACTGCCAAGTTGTATTTGATGCTGAATATTTTCAGTTATGTAATTTTTTTTAGCAAAAACAGATTGAAAACAGGAAAATGCAAAATATTACAAAAATGTTTTTGGAAAAGGTGAATATTTTATTATTGAAGTTTCTTATTTTTAAAATTTTATAAATTGATTGCTGTGTAATGGAATTCTTACTGCACTGGCTGTTGGCTTTGGTGCATTAAGACACTTTAGCCTTAAGGCATTTTTGCAAGTTTTAGTGAAGTTGATGACATCCTTTTCCATTCTGTGTCAGACAGATCAAATTCACTGATCAAATTCAGCATTGCTTTTGGTTCAGGATAAGAAAGCAAAGCTTGGACAATTTTTCTCCGACTGCCTAAAATAAAAGAGCAGATTTTACTCTTCAAAATGTTGCAATATAGTTCTATGAAACTCTCTAGCTTAAACTTTTTGGTTAATCTTTGGATTATGGTAACTTGGCAAAAATTTGGCAACCAACCCTGCTAGTTTTTGTTTGAACGCCATTTTGTTTTTCACGAAGTAAAGGCATGTTTTTTTTTTTCACTCAACATTTTTTTCCAATAATGTGCTAGCTGAATTACGCTTATGCTAGAAATTTTATGGAACAAAAGTGCTTAATCATGACGAAGATTAGGTGTGAAATTGGAAGAAAGTGCAGAATCGCCCACTGCCTGCCGCATTTTTAAGAATTGCACACGCACGGTATCCATGTAGACGTCGACCTATTTTCACTTTAAAAAACATCCCAGAATTGCACAAAAATGTCATTGCGCACACTCTTGACTTTATCCATGTACACTGCTAAAATCCTAGCTAGTAACCTTTATCGCCTACCAAAATGTCGCCAAACTATCTGTTATCATATTCCAAAGATTAGCCAACTTTTTTAGTCACTGAAGTGAATTTTCTTTGTCTAAAAAGAATTTGTGTACATTGTCACTTTGTTGTGCTTGCTAGTCGTAGTTAATAGAAATTACATTAGTAACCTTTCGATAGGAGAAAGAGCATCAGCTGGTCCATTTTTTGCACCACTGGCATGTTGAATATCAATAGTGAACTGATCTATGAAATTAAGTTGATTGATTTGTCGAAAGGTGAGCTTGATATGCTTTTGCGACTGGCTCATGATACGACTGGCGCTATAAATTTCATATCTTAAGAAGATATTAGAAATATTAAATCTTGGCAAATATTGCCAGCAGCTTTCTAGAGCACATACTATATTTCTGTTCAGTATCGCTCAATTTTTTTAAAAGAATCCTTGTTATTCCCATGTTTGTACGCCAATATCTTGGATGGAAGCACCGGGTAAAGTGCAGAATCGCCCACTTATATGGCACGTATCGATGTGTACATGGGCAAAGTCAAGGGAGTCTGCAATGGCAAGGTTGAGCAATTTTCTGATGTTTTTTTGAAGTGAAAATAGGTCGATGTGTACATGGATACTGAGTGTGCAATTATTTGACTTATTTTCAAGTGGATGCAGAATCACCCACTTATATGGCGCGTATCAATGTCAGGGACAAAGTGAAGGGAATGTGCAGTGCTAAGTTTGTGCAATTCTCTGATGTTTTTTTCAAGTGAAAATAGGTCGATGTGTACATGGATACCGAGTTTGTGCAATTCTTTGACTTGTTATTTTCAAGTTGATGATTTTGAGAAATACGCGAAGCAGAGGGTGATTCTGCACTTTCCACGGAAGTGCCTATGGCTTTTTCTGAGGGTCACAGAGCAGTTTCCTTATTTGGGTGTGGATGGACTAAATCTGTAGTTTGTGTCAAGAAGCTGTTTACATGACTCAAAAGCTGTTTCAGTGTCTATTGACCAATCCAAGTGTGTTTTTTCGTCGAATGTCCAACATACTATTTAAAAGAAGTTGAACTTCAGCAGCATGATTTAAACATCTCCTATAGAAATTAAGAATTTAAAAAAAAAAAAATCTGAATCTGAAATTTTAGATAACTTAACTTTTCTTAAAATGTCAACTTAATTTTTAAAAAAAAAGTTTGAAATTTTGGATAGCTTATTTTTTTTTAAAAAGTCCGAAATTTTGGAATACTTAGTGACCTAGCATTTTACATAACTTAGTGACCTAACATTTTACATACTCTGAAGCAGATGTATAATTAGGAAGGTTGATAGTCAAATTATGGGTTAATCTTTGGATTATGGTAACTTGGCGATTTTTTGGCGAAAACTTGGCGACCAACTCTGCTACAGCAACCTGCTAGTTTTTGTTTGGACACCATTTTGTTTTCATGAAGTTAAGGCATGTTTTTTTTTTTTTTTTTTAAATTTTTTTTTTTTTTTTTTTTTTTTTTTTTTTTTTTTTTTTTGCTTTTTTTTTTTTTTTTTTTTTTTTTTTTAAATAAAGTGCTTATCATACGAAGATTAGGTTCGAAATTGGAGAAATAAATGCAAATCGCAAACTGCTTGCCGTGTTTTTAAGAATTGCACATACACGGTATCCATGTACACATCGGCCTATTTTCACTTAAAAAAAATCCCAGAATTGCACAAAAATGGCATTGTGCACACTCTTGACTTTATCCATGTACACTGCTAAAGTCCTAGCTAGTAACCTGTATCGCCTTACCAAATGTCGCCAAACTACATGTTACCATATTCCAAAGATTAGCCAAATTATGACTTGTCTATGGCAAATAGAAGGGAACAAGTTATTTTGACCTGGTTGAGAATCGGCCATTGTCGACTGACTGTTGAATATTTGCTGAAAGGTGAGAAGAGTCCTCGTTGCACTGGACTGTAATTATCTTATATCCGTCTTTCATCACCTGTAATGAAGATCTGACAGTCCACCATATTTTATTAGAATGTCATAGTTTTAATTATCTTTGCCAAAAGCACTTAATAGGGGAAAGCCATCATCATAAGTTGTTCTAATTTTTAAAAGGATACCGACTTTTATTATAAACAGTAATATGTTTTTAGTTTGCTTTTACCTCACTTAACATATATAGTAATTGTCCATATGAAACTTTTAATATAATTTGTATTTACTGTTTTTACCATTTGTTTGGTGCAGATAACCTTGTAGGGTTTTGTGCTAGGAACTATAATCGATAAATCAAATTATGACTTATTATAAACTTATTAAAATTATTTATTAAACATTTCTTATGACGGGAAGAAGGAAAATGACATATTAAAAATTTTTTCGATATTAATTGAAGATTTTGAATCAGAGAACATATTCTAATGCTTTGACTTCGTGGTCACAAATACTGTATGGTATGGTAAGGTAAGATACTTAATATATGCTTATTGTGTGTCCTGGTTCTCTGTGAACAACTGCCTAGCATAACTTTCGTTTAGAATTCAGAGAAATGTGGGGATGAAGATAAAAAGAATAGAAGTGAAGTGAACAAAAGTGAATCGGAAGGCATACAAAAAGTATTTTGTTATGCCTTCTGATTTAAAATGCGATAAGTACAAGCTTCCCAGAGGTAATTAATTCTTCCTGTCTATTGCTGTTTTTCGGTCATTCCTAGCTGTTCTTTTCCCCATTCAACAAATACTAATTCTGTCGACCAGCTGTAACTGAACTGGAATGCAGTCACAAATGCGATTCTTCTGCAGCCCTCGAACAGTGTCCTTTTTTGAATGGATGTTCTCTTGTCACAGTTTTTCACATTGCATCATCATTGTTTATCTGTGTTAATATTACATGAAAGCACAGATATTGTGTGCTGCGAGGTCATCCATAATTGGCACTAAATTGCTCTTCTTCCTGACAGTTTCACATGAGAATTTTTTTAGGTA